CATAGATGGAGTTTTATGGAGTGTCTGGTTATTCCAGAAACTTTTGTGAGCATTTCTCTACATCTGTCTCACCTCTAACTGTTCTTCGTCCCAAAGTTAAGTTCCACTGGTAAAAATCTAGCTAATATGCATTTGAGAGCATTAAAGCCTTATATTTAATGCCCCTGTTCCATCTGCTCCTGAAAAGCTCTGCAGCTTGCTGTGGATGCCAGTGACATTGGAGCAGGTGCACTCCTCCTCCAGGTTGGTTTAGATGGCACACAACACAGTGTGCTGCTTCTCAAAGAAGAGAGAGGGAAACTCTCACTCTAGTCCTTGGTGTCCTGCAATTTGAGATCTATGTAGGCTCTTTTCCCTGCCCAGTTGTGGTTTCCATCGACTATAACTACTTGGTGTTTTTAAGCTGCATGCAAAATGCAAATCAAAGACTGATGCAATTGGGTATTGCTGGCATATGGTCTGGAGATATGTCATATTCATGGATGGGAATGATATTATGGCTGATGCGCTGTCATGTGCTTTGTTTTAACTTGTTTTGTTTTGTGCCACAGGGAATAGCATGCACTAAACCCTGTGGATAACCTGTTGAAGAAACACCAAAGTGAAAACCATTAGTAACATCAACAACAATCACAAGACAGCAAAATCAGGTCAATACAAGTGGGACTATGTCTAACTATCGGAGCTAGTGATGGACGGAGAGAGGTGCATCCTGAAGAAGTGAGTCAAACAATTCCGCTTAAAGGCAAACAGACTATCTGCTTTTCTGACCTCCATGGGAAGCTTGTTCCACCAGCAGGGAGCCAGAACAGACAGCAAACATGACCGGGAAGTGAAAGGCATGTAGGGTCTGATGATGTTTTGAAGATAGGACAGGGCTGTCCCCTTGACAGGCTGGGAGACAAGCACCAATATTTTAAATCTAATGCATGCCGTGACAGGTAGTCAGTGGAAGTCGGTGAGGAGGATGGTGACGTGGGAACATTTGGGAAGGTTGAAGACCAGACAAGCAGCAGCATTCCGAGCCTGATGGTAGTTGCTGTAAGGCCAGCAGGCAGGAAGTTGCAGTAATCCAGGCGTGAGAGTACCATCACTTGGACTAGCAGATGCGTGGAATAGGTGGTGAGAAAGGGGCAAATGCTCCTGATGTTACAGGAAGAATCTGCACACCCGGCTCAAAGCTGCAATGTTCTCAGAGAGGGTCAGTTTGTTGTTGAACACCACTCCAAGGTTCTTGACACAGGATGATGACAGGATGGTGTCACCCAGGGAGATGTAGAGGTCCAGCAGAGTAGAGGATGGGACTAGAAAGAAGAGAAGCTCTGTCTTGTCTGGGTTGAGCTTAAGATGGTGGGTGTCCATCCACTTCTGGATGTGCCACAGACAAGAGAAAATTAGAAAAAGAGTTGGGTGTCATCAACATAGCACTGATAGGACAAGCTATGGGAAGAGATGAACAAGAGAATTGGTACAGAGAGAGGAGAGGTGGACCAAGGACAGAGCCTTGGGGAAATCCTGAAGCAAGCGGACAGGGTTCCCATACCACACCATCCCAGATTACCATAACCTGAAAGGAGTGAACGAGGAGATAGGACTCAATCCAGATCCCCAAAGCAGCCAGGGAGGACAGGAGGATGGAATGGTCAACTGCGTCGAAGGCTGCCAATATATCCACAAGAATCAGGACGGAGGAAAGAGAGGCTGCTGGAGCAGTGTGAGGAGATTCACTGACCGAGAGAAGTGTAGTCTCATTCAAGTGACCAGGTCTGAAGCCAGACTGGTGAGCATCCAGTAGATTATTCTGAGAAAAGAAGCAGGAGAGTTGATTAGAGGCAGCATGTCCTAGAGTTTTGGAGAGGAAGGGCAGTAAGGATTAAAGACAATAGTTTTGGAGGACAGAGGGCTCCATGGTAGGTTTCTTTAATAGTGGGGTGATATGAATTCACTTGAAGGAAGAGGGGAAGCAGCCAGTGGATGTGCCATTATCTGTCTGGTTCAAGGATTCATTGTTAAGAAATCACTCTCCAGTCCATCAAATCTAAACATCACTGAACCTTCATGAGCAGATCTGGAATATAGATTGTAGATTTCCACTTTCTCAATCACTCAAGGAACTGGAGGCATTATGTATTGAAGATCGGTCCAATATCTCATTAGAAACTGTTCAAAACTTGTGTAAAAACATTCCATGAAGGACTCAAGCTTTTTCTACCCCTCATAGTAGCCTAATTAAGAAAGATGGTGATTAGAGTAGCATAGAGTAGCACTAGTAAATAGAGAAAGAATGAGAGGGGAAAGGATACCAATAAGTGGAAGTTTATTCATTTGTTATTTGTTTTCAAGGTATTCAAGGATCTTCAGGGGTGAAAAAGTTATCCCCCCACTTGACAAACACACACAGTTAATTAAACCCAGTGAAATTAGGGTCAGCTGTACTTTGGTGTTCTATCAGGCCTTATTTGAGCTAGCCCTGCCCAACATAAATCCAGGAGCTTGTGATGTCAAAATCAAAACATATTCATACATTCATCAAGACAGTAAAATAGTGGGGGGTCATATAAACCTTTTCTAAATATGTTTGAATGTTGTTCGTGGGTCCCAATAAAGTACCATTTAAAACTTCCAGTCCACACCATAGCAAATACGGTAGCTTGCTAAAAGAAACTTAGTTGTTATGAAATTTCTCAGTTGAGAGAAATGTAACAATTTCTGGTACATTTCTGGTACAATGGTAAAAATGCTGTATATTCATGTGTATCTTTAGCCTTCCCAGAAGCAGAAATATTTTAGCTTACAAATGTCAACGCTAATTTAATGTGCTTTCTTATTATAGCCTTAAAGGCCAGCTAGACAGTGGAATAATATTGCTTAAAGAAAGCTTGCATATTGCAAATGAATACAATCTGTCACCCATATGTATGACACAATTAAAAATTGGTACAGTTCAGCCATATGTATTATTCAATTAAATATTCTCATGTTTGGTACATCTGATGGACCATTTCATTTTCCGCTTCCATCTTTCCATTTTAAATCTAAATTTTAAACAAAATCTTGCATTTTCACTAAAATATGTAATTGAGTGCCACATGCATTTGTTTCATAATAAATGTCTTTTATGTCTATTTGAAAATGCCAGGGATATTTTAAATTGTCAGGGATAATTCTTAGTTGCACATGCCCCGCACATGTCAACACTGTGCCCTTACAAAGCTGTTATATATGTACTTTGTTCATCCAACAGACCGCTTTCTCCAGATTTTGTGTAAGACATTCTTACATATCTAACACTGAAAAATGCACATCAGTGGCTTTTTTCACTTCTCTCTCCTTCAACCCTTCCCGCCTTCCCCCTCTGTCCCTCTCGCATTCTCGCCTGGGTGTCTTCAGCCGAAGTCTCAATCTGGGTGTCCATTACTAATCGATTTAAAGGTGCCCGAGCTATGCAGAATACAAATAGCCTGTCCAAGAGTGAAAATACAAGGGAATTATCCAATCTTAAGGTTTGTCTTCCAATTCATAAAGCCCTATGGCTTTGTAATCAGTCTTTATAAACCATCTTAATCTTTTAATTCACTTGTACCGCACCACTGGCTATCCGTTTTTTTTTTTCCTTCATAGCCGGCACTTTGTAGTACTTAATCCTCTAAACACTTTCTTGAGTGTTTCCAAACTGCGTAGTCAACCCTCTGTGGGGCATAGAAATACAGGGGAAATGGCATGCTGTTTTCATGGACTGTACTGCATTAGACTGGATCCAGTTGTGGGAGTCTGCCACCATTAACATTTGAAATAGAGGTCCTAAATGGAGGTTTTATGAACATTACATTCAGAGGAGCTACAGTGAGCTGTGAGTTGTTTTCTTCTTTGAACCAATCCAAAAGTTTTCCTGTCTACAGCAAAAAACAACTATAGGCTAGAGGCAATCAAATGCATTTAGGCCCTTCAAGGATATGTCTTTTTAGAATAAAAAGAAGACATTCCAAAGCACATATTTTTCTCCAAAAATATAATATACTGAAATAATATTATCTAATGCAGCTGCAAGAGACTAAGGCCAGGATGCAGTCAACATTTGTCCTTAACTTTGGATGTCAATTAAGTGCAAATGTTTATTTTTATCTTTACTGACACAGTTTGGCAAGTTCAGTAATGATTAACGCACCAAGCTGTTCTTGTAGAGAAAAAGCATAACACTCTTATTGAATGGTAAGTGAAAGTCAAGGACAAACATTGATTGAATCGCAGCCTCACATCAAGTGCATGTGATTGAATTTAATTCAAAATTTGGTCCAGCTCAATCACATTTTGTAGTAGTACAAAACATCATTCTCCCATCACTAATGTGAAATTGTCATGCCCTCTTTATTTACTAGACTGTTTGTAAGGAAAATAAATCAGAAAAACACTTTTCTGTTTAATGAATAAATGTTTGAACTGGTCCTGGTTAAGAAGCCATTCCTCCAAACGGATATTTCATTTCAAGAAAATAATTATCCATAGTTTAAAGTCATAATTTAACATCCACTTGTAGTTTATTTTGAAATAAATACCGTATTTATTGGTGTATAATACGCACTCATTTATAATGCGCACTCCTAATTATGGACAATGAAATCCTGAAAAAAATATCTCTCATACGCACTAACTTTTCCTCAGTATCAATTCAGGCTGTCAGACATGGAAATCACAGCAGCAGGCTAAGTCACATTGTATGGAAAACAGAAATATTGTGTCAGATTTATTATAATTGTTGAATAAAATACTGAATGAAATCATATTTGTGTCTTTACCAAACTTACATTTTCGTGCTTTAATTACTGTGGAGAGTATCTATGAAACACATTTTTTGCAGACACAGCATGATCTGTACTGAGTATATGTGTTACACCATCTTAATGATAACCAAGTTATGCATCTTATCAGTATCTTCAAAACCCAAAGCTGGCCCTCCTCCCTCTTAGAGGAGTATCCCCGACAAAAGCACTTCAGGAAATTTTCACCCTCACTTGGATTCGAACCCATGAATCCCACATCAGTAGCTGAAACTTTTCCCGCTGAGCTATGTGGGCCAAAATTATGTAAAAGATCTCAACATTCTCACTATTATAGAAAAATGTAACATTATTATAGTGATTTAATTCTCTGTTACAGATCAGTTAGCTTGGATAATAAGTATTATGGGTGTAACAATATGTGCATTTGTTCCCAACCATTCAGTATAGGACGTTCAGTTCAGTATGCAACCTCCTCGGTTCGGGTATGCCCTGTGACCCCAACAATTACTGTCAAAATAGTCTATTTATGTCTACTACTCGAGCATGTGAAACAAAAATTCTACAGCGCGAGTTGTACCTGGAAAGTTTTGTCAGTGCACCAGTTGTTGTCTGTCACTTGTAGCATGCTAGTCAGTTTAGCCAGGTTAGCCAAGCTCATGTAGTGATGCTGCCATCCATATGGCAAACGAGAGATCAGAGCTGAAAGATCCTCCCATGATTTTTAACTCCACTGTATAGGACCAGTATGGTTTCCCGGTTAGTTACAGCGTAAATGGACAACAATTAGTGTCAAACTGTATGCCGACATTGTTCACCTGGAGTCGGGTATGTCTGTGGATACACTTCAAACATGTCATTTGCAATGACGTCACCCAAATGTATCAATAAGCAGAACAAGATAAACACAGACTGGAAGGCGAATCCTTCTTCCTACAGCGTTCAAAAAGCCTCTCACTGCAGATTCAGACTGTGCCACAGCAGTAACTAATGCTACAGGATTGTTTATCACTGTGACCATACTCGGTCATAGAGAATACAGGATTTAAGCATATGGTCAAAGTGCTTGAGTTCTGCTACAATTTGCCTTCACATGTGAAGAATTGTGGCCACTGTTGAATGTTCACATTTTTCAAAATAAATGGCGTACCGAACCGTGACACCAAAACTGAGGTACATACCGAACTGTGAATTTTGTATATCGTTACACCTCTAATAAATATAACTTATTTCCGGTCCCTAATATGGCCATACACTTGGCCAGGAAAAAAGGGGTTACAGTTAGTTGTTATGTATAATGCGTACCCCAAATTTTTAGATTTAAAAATCTGGAGAAAAGGTGGGTATTATACACAATTAAATATGGTGTGTTTGAAAGTGTTAGTGAAATGAACTCTGTGTTTAAAATTTGACACACCAACAGCATGATGATTGGCCCTCATTATATTTATGTATAAAAATCCTGCTTACCTCTCACTGAACCCTTGTGCTGTGTCTTATTTTATCAAAGAAAAGCTCTCTGAGTGCATTCAAGTCATCCAAACCTTTATTTCTCTTCAAAGAATAAGTGTGTATTTAGCTTATGATCTAAGCATGAACTCAGGTTAGAAAATCTTTTTCAATCCTAAAACAGCAAAATTATGACTGTTATAGCTATTATCTCATTTTTGACAGTTGTGACAAGTGACGGAGAATGTCATATATATATCATGTAAAGTAGGAAACAACAGGAAAGCCATCAGTATGCTCAATTAGACAGAGAAAAGGGGAGCAGGCCACAGAGAAGCCCCTGACTTGGCCAAATTGGCTATTCATATTCGATTCTACACTGCAAATGCAAAGACATTCTGTAATAATAAGGTAATTACCATGCATACTATATGAAAAATTGTCTTTTCCCCTTCATACCTTGATATAAAGAGATCAAAAGCATCCTTTTTGATGTTTCTGGTACAAACAAGTTGTATGATAATATAACCGTGCCATTAACTAGGATTGAATCCTGAGGCTAGTTCATAAGTGGTGATTCACAGGTGTGGACTGACTTTGATCTATTCTGCGTTTGTATTCCCAGAGTGACTCCAAGACACGAGAAACCTCAAGGAAAGCTAAACAATGTCTGAGTGCTCTACCTCTAATAATAAGTAATGAGAAGAACACTACAACTGTGTTTGGGGCATTCATAGACTTTTTTCTAAATACAGTAACAGAAACAGTAACACAGTGAAAGGTAATAGTTATGTACTGTGAAGAGTGAAACCATGCTAAAGGAATTAGGTGAATCCTTTTACTGAAAAAAATGGGTCACAGTTTTCATGAACAAGCACTCATCTTTGTAAGTAAACTATATTTTGGGTATTTTGAACTTTACATAATTTATAGGCAAAAACTTAGAGTCTGTGATTGTGTATAACATTCTATACACAATTTTGGTTTGTGCTAATTTATCAGCATCCTGGGTCTTTACATGAGAAATTAGAGTATTTTCAAAAAGATAAAATAATTTTTGGTAACACAAACTCTTAAATGTACATCTGAAACACCTCAGTTCCGTTATCTCGTCATATACTGTTAGAGTAGGTTCTTTGGTGCATCTTCGTCAAAGAACTGTCTCAATAAAACATTCTATTGCTGCATAAATGCTTACCTAAGCTTTTCATATTTTCAATACACAACAACAAATTCAGACAATAAATAACTAACAATACATGGACTGAACACACTTGTCAAACCATTTTATGGGAATACCATTTTATTACATTAATAACTGTGCTAAATTGAAGACAAGTAAATATACACAGTAGTTATACTGGAAAAATAATTTAAAACACTAAAAATGCATGTTTTGTGAATAATAATTATTATTGTGTACAAGCTGTTTTATTTACAGTAGTTCCTCAGGTGAATTAGTTATTTCATGACATAAAAAATGCTATAAACTGGAAGAATTGGTTTGTCTGAAGCTTGCTGACAACACTAATGAATTTTTTTTAAAGAAACAATTGCCTAGCTTCAAACATCTAGTGACAAAAACAAAACATAAATTCAATATACAACACACTGGTAGAGCATGAGACAACAGTGTAGTTAAAAGTTCAGTGCTCAGGTAGGGCACTGTTGTACCCGTGAATATGGTACTTAACCTGACCTGTGTACAAAAGTCACTCTGGTTAAGAGCATCTGCTAAATGCCTAAATATAATGTAATGCATATATTGAGTGGAATAGCAAATAAAATACAAATCACTTGAGAATAAGGGCAGAGCACATAACTGCAATTATACTCAAGCCCACTCCATATCTAGGTAATCAATGTAAGCAACAAGTTCTTCCAGTAAGGTTAAGTAATCGACTCTACCTGTTTTTACTGTTGATCACAGAGGAAAAAACTTTCAAATGCTACTATTTCCTGATTTCATATTCACCCAACAAAAATATTTAGGCTTTCTGACTTTTTTTTTACCAAGCTTTTTTTCTGAAATTAAGAACTGATGTTGTAACTATACTAACAGTTCAAGTTCAACCATGCATATTCAGCATAGTTTTATGAGAGATAGACCTCTTATTGATAGATATTATACCATGGTTTTTATGTCACTTAAGAGTCGTTTTGTAAATTTCCTTATGACTTCTGGGGCTTAGGCCTGGTCATTGTCTGCCTGTGTGGGGAACCAGCCATGTCTCTCACTAGAAATAAAAAGGCGGGCGTAAACAGTAATTTATGCACTGGGATAATTTTACTTTACCCCTCTAAAAAAAAAAAAAAAAAAAACAGAATTTTATCTTTCTTAGACAGGGTGGAAATAAATTGCACGTACAAGATCCAAATTACATTGTTTAACCTCAAAATTATTGGCCGGAGCTCTCCTCCGGCGGGTTCTTTCAATGATTTATGGGTTTAGTTTACTCTGTGCAAATCCAACTGTGTTCTGCAGCCATGATGGGGGGATGTTGGAGGGGGGTTGGGGGTGGGGGAAGGGGGTAGAGAGAGGAGCGTGTTGTGATGGAGCAGCCTTTAATATTTTATAAGCCTTTTCGGAACTTCTCTTAATTTAGAAATATGAGGCTGCATGTTGAAAGAGAGGATTATTAGCTGGTGCTAATCTCTGGCATTTACTTTTGTTCCCACCCTCCCTCCCCACCACCACACACACACACACACACACACACTATTCGCTTCTGGAGCATCAACAATTGAGAGCGGCCCGACTTTGCAATCGTCCAGCCATCACAGAGGCACAAAGCGGCTCTCCATGTTGATGGTACAAATTATGATTTTAGGTGGTGGTGGGTGTAAGGAGGGCAAAAGTGTCACGTCGACAGCTGAGGCCACCGCATTTAAGGCACCAGTTATTCCCTAACAGCCACAAGAGATGCCCACATGGCTCGCACCCCCACCCCCACCCCAGCCCCCTTTCTCCCGTTTTGTCAAGAACGCTTTTCCATAATCGCACAATGACAAAAGCCATCATTTTAAAAGCCAGCACAGCACTCGAGTCGTGGGCTGAAATTTGCACATCCTTTCATCTTCCTCTCTTTTTTCCAAGGCATCATGCTTGCATTTATGTCTGCTCGCAGATTCTTTGTTTACAGCTGCCACAGCCTTTAGCACTGGCTCAGGTCTCCTCTGTGCACATGCACACACACACATACACACACACACACACCATTGCACTCTCATTCACATATGTGTACACATTTTAAATAGGAAATATGCATTGAACTGCTGTTGAATGCACTTGAATGCATCAAGAATGCTGAGCACAGTTGTGCACATTTACCCACTGAACACATTCCAAGGTCCCTCACCCCACTGAACACACAACCCATTTAAGCCTCTGCAAATTTATTTAGGCTATTAAATTAGGCCTGTTTAGGATATTTTGCAGATAACACACAAGTTAGTTGAATTTTTACCCCTTACCCATGCATGGAAATTCCTGCTCACTTGTAATTAATGCTTCCATTTCCTCCATGTGTGAAGGCAACCGGCAGGCAAAGCATTTAATAGCGTGACGGGGGGAAGTTTGGTAAATATGGATTTTGTTTATCTTTTTTTCTCCCTGAGATAAGTCTCTATCTAAACCTTCCTAGCGCTGGGCCTATGGTAACATTTTGTTAATTTAAATACCTCGAAAGTGCCATCTGGAAGGAGAAATATTAATGACAAACACACAGATCCCAGCATGTCTCCCAGTTCTAATCAAGCAGTTGCTGGTTACACAGCAATGTTTTTCAGGGAATTGGGGAAAACAGCCTGTGTGCTAAACCACGATTGATGCTTTGTATGAAATCTGA